TAAGAGAGAAAGCTGCTATAACTTGAAGGGATTACAAATGTTTGTTAAACTGAAAATCAGAACAAATTTGAAGGACAGATGCACTTCAGTAAAAGGCATAAGACTATGGAATAATCTGGAGGATGACTATAAGAGCATTGGATCAGTTAATTACTTTAAGAAAATGATCAAGAAAAAATTGTTAAATATGAAATTGTTTAATTTGTATTAGTTACTGTCTGAGGAGTTTATTTTATTTTTTGTTTTTACTATTGGGTTTATTGTTGTTTGAAAAAATATATGTATATTTAAAAAGGAGCAGATATAATTTTTTTCTTCTTCGGCTRCCTTTAATTTTATTTTATTTTGTATTGTTTTGTTGTGTGACATATTTTGTTTGTTTTTTAATGAAATGAAATGAGTAAATGAACTTACACCTTTTGAGCTCAACCCAGTTTAAAATGGCTGCCACAGCTAATTAACCTTACCCATCACACACAAATGGCTATTAACTCATATTTACAAATGATCTAAAGATTGCTGTAGTAGTGGCTGAGTCATGTTCCTCAAGTCCTGCAAAGTTTGACCAAATTATTATTAACACAAGACACTAACATGAAGGGCAGCAGGCAATGCATAACAAAAATTATATTTATCATTTTTGTGCTTGTGCATGTAAAGCATGTCCTTTATGTATTAGCAAAATGTGTTTGACAGATGAACTATCAGCATTGGTCACAGTCACCACCATTGGAATAGTACGAAACAGTAACTGTTCCTTTTTATTTCTTTGTCATAAAAAAAGTTTTAAAACTTTCAAATGTTTTGTTTTCCAGAAATTGGCGCAGAGTTTGATTTGAACAGTTTTAGAGGAACGTGTGGAAGGTCGTGGTTGGTGGCTTCCTGCTCACCTCTGGGTGTTTCTTAAGCTTTGGTCAGAGCGTGTGACCTCCCGCTTTTTAAAGCATGTTTGACAAACTCAAGGCCTGTGATGTGGTTTTATGTTGACAAGACTTCTGCTCAAGCTCAGACTCTAATTTTGCTGTGTGAAAACCAGCGCGCACACACAAACACACACACCTGGCTGTACCTAAGCATAAGATTACCAATCGAGTGGAGCTTTCAACTCTGCTTTATAAGGTACACACTCTGTCCTGAGTAGTACTAATAATTTGTCACAGGCGTCAGTAATCTGTCTGTGATTGTCCTGTCTTGTGTCTTTGCAGGGAAAAGCAGCATGCCTTCGGGCTCAGAGGATCGTAGGAATTACAGACTGTGCTAGAAAATTAGAAAGACAAGTTTAAAGACAGGAAGACTTGTATGACGCCATCCCTGTTTTCCTCCCATTAGTGGGGAGTTCTGGAAACGGGGGAACAGTGGAGGGGGGGGGGGGGTTAAGGAGAAAAGAAGGGAGGCAGCTTAGGGGGGAAATGTGAAGAGAGGATTGTGGAAAGACAAGAAAGACAGGGAAAGAGGGAAATTAAAAGAAAGAGGCCATTAATTTAGTGCTGTGGGAGGGATCTGAAGGTTACTGAGCTCTCCCTGCCAGGCCCTCCTGGGTTGACTGATGCCTTTGTGAGGAGGCCAGGAACCGCACACACGTGCTCACTTACACACACACACACACACACACACACACACACACACACACACACACA